CCCCCCCCCTTACAATCGGTAAGAGAGCTAAATAGTCCTTGATATTTTTTCAAACTAAAATTTCGTGACTTATACAAACTGAATCACAATTATACATTATTACTCTTGAGCACTGGGTGGGTCTAGATGCCACCGTATTTCAAGACCATTCGGAAGTTGACACCACAAACCACCTGTCAGTAATTGTTCGTCTAGCTCTCCGGATTATGAAACTATTTTACTTGATGGCCCAGGCTAACAGAACGGTAAGTTGAATAGGTTTCTGGCTCATCTATGATATTTATGGGAAAAAAATCACTCTCAGGTAGATCTAATTGCTTTCTGGTAATCCCGACATGACTTAGCAGATATATTCTAAAGACTATCTTGTTGCCTACCTTGAAGTGCGCTCAACCTTCACCAAAAAATATAACGATCTTCCTTGGGTCACGTCACCAATTGTTTCCAAGTTTTCTTCTTCGGCAGGAATGCTGATGATTTTAAAAACGAACCAATACTCTTCTGAAGTCTTGTTTATCACGTGAAGTGCAACGATGGTTCTCAGTGTCCCTGCGGAAAAATAGTTGAAATTGCATTACAAAACTAATTTAAAATAGAGTAATTTGGCTGAAAAAGATCCTTGTTGAGCTTAATTCGACTCTGATTGCCTGTATTCCTGAGGGAGGAAGCAAGACATCAAGCTTGGTGAATGTAGTGTATTGACTGCACACTAGAACGTGATTTCACGAAGCGGTTTATTTGTTGAACTCCAAGTTTTTATAACCGTCCCGAGCTCCTCTCTCTCACTTACTCACTCGGAAAATTACATGATTGACAGGTAAAAAAACGACAACCAGAAGTGGTTACTACATTCCTCCCACTTTGCATTACATATAAACTATACCAAAACTACAGCAAAACATAAAACCGACCCTGAGCATCTAGTGCAGGGTGAACAAACAGTAACATATGAAAACGTCCCTCATTGGGTTTCAAGAGGTATTACACGAAAGTCCTAAAGGTATGCAGGACGTCATCTGTGTCTCTGCGGATTGCGGCGAGGTCCACAATCAGCAGGTTTTGACAGCGTAGTCTCCTTGGCATCAGTAGGCAGAGCTGGGGGAGTTAGACTGTCATGCACAGGTCTACCAACTGTGACCTGGACGTCAGGCTCCAGCTTCTTGAAGAACGAAGAGTTTCGGGTGATGTTTTTTTTGCCCCGCCCTCGGCAGTAATCATCGTACCTTTATGGTGAATGATGACATAGGGATGACAAGGTGTTATAGAATTAATTCCGGAGGGGTCACGCCTTACTAGAACTTTGTCTCCAGTCATGAGGTTGCTTGTTTTCACATATTCTTTCTGGTCAGCATAGCTCTTCATCTTCTCCTTAGCCAGCATGTCTCGGTGTCCTATCGGTGCTGGGTCCTCCTCAGAACTGGGTCTGTCAGGAATCTTAACGCTCATGGGCCTGTTGAATAAAACCGTGGCTGGTGGCTTGCCTGTTGACTAGTGCGGTGTTGCTCTGTAGTTGCGAAGCATCTCGTGTAACTCTTCTTTTTAGGGACGTTGCTTCACGTTTGCAGCTTCGATCGTCTTCTTAACCGTGCGCATGAATCGTTCAGCTTCTCCGTTGGCCCGTGGCCATTTGGGGGTTATATTTCGATGGTCGAATCCCATGTTCTTTGCAAAGGACTAGAACTCTCTTCCGTTGAACGGTTTGCCATTATCGGTGCGCACTTTCGCCGGTACACCAAACTCTGGAAATACCTTGTGGAGACGTGGTATGACGGCTGGTGCAGACACTGACAGTATGACCTCTACAATGGGGTATCTGGAATAGTCGTCGTAGAGGACGAATAAGTATCCTCCACCAGACAGTTCCTTAAAATCTGCACTAATCTGTTGCCATGGTCCCTCTGGCAGCGGTGACATGTTAAGGAGCTCGCGTTTGGTTTCTGGGGTCGTAACTTGGCATGCCAGACAGGACTTCACTTTCTTCTTTACTGCGTCGTTGATACCTGGGAACCCCACCTTCTCCCGAAGCAGTGACTTTGTTTTCGTGATACCCTGATGACCTTCGTGTGCGAGATCAATTACTGTCTGTTGTAAAACTTCGGGGACAATGATCCGTCTTCCTCTCAAGAATACACTCGAGGAACTGCAGATGGTCAATTCTTCCTTTACCCGCTCAAGGGCATTGTACGTGTTTTGGTTTATGTCGAGTCGCTTAGACGCTCAAACCAGTTGCAGGTACGCACAACATCAGTGACGGCTAGAAGGGTTGGATCTTTCATAGTTGCCTGCGTGATGTCCTCTAGCTTGAGTGCGTTGGGTTTGGCAGCGTGTGTGATGTAGTCCACGAACTCTTCTGCCACGTGTTGCTGTCGACTGCTGGGAAGCGTTGACTTCTCACGGCGTCGGGACATATAATCAGCCGGGTTTCCTTCTCCTTGCTCGTACACAACTGTCACTTGGTAGGACTATAAGCGCAGTGTCCACCTCTCGATGCGTGGTGGTGGTTTTGATTGAGGATTGTTATATATCGCAACTAACGGCTTGCGATCTGTGATGATAGTTACCGGTTTGCCATTTATGTAAAGGTAGTGGACCTGACCGTGCCATCCACAAAACCGAAACAATTATCCAGAGCGGCACCTTTTGCGAACACTGCATCTGCATAGACTTGAAGACTAGCAGAATCAAGAAGGTTGTGATTGTATTCGGTTATTCTATGGCCATGGAGGTTGTAGACTAAGTCAACTACTGTGTTATAAATCATGCTCATCACAGGAACAGGGTGGCCAAAACGGGGAATTAAATCTGAGTACCTGCAGGGGTAGCTAAATCTTTTCAGCATAATACATAGCCCTTCAATGCCATTAGTCAAGGATCCCTGGCTGCAGGTGAAAGTCTCGGGTAAACCAAGGACTTCTGCCAGCACCGGGATTTCTTCTTTATGGAAGCGAAATTCCGCTTTACATTCAGTGTCGTCCATATCTTCGAGATCAAATTTTCCATACCCTTCGTACGGAAACTCGGGAGTTTTTGATCGATTGGCATCTTATGGCAAGCAAAATTCCTCGTCGTCTATCACTCCGTTGTCATGACATAGAACCAAGGTCTCTCTTGCATGCCTAAAACTCAGTTTAACGCGTATTTTGACACACTAAACTAAGATAACAAGCTGAACAAACCAAGCAACAGAGTTAGGGTAAAGAAAATTGTTTTCACTGCGACATCAGCTGGATGACGAATTAAGCTGACATATAAAACTTACGTCATGTTTTGAGGCCCCATATACCCAAGGTGTATGGAAAAAAAATAAAAGCGCTTCTTAATCAGCGATATGAAATGTTAAACATGCTGTAGAATAAACCAAAATGGACAAAATATTCTGGAAGCACAGTGGCGTCCCTGTCGACAACAATCTTAAGCTATTTAACCAACGCGTGAGACGGAGACCTAGGCCCAGTCCTAACCGTCCTACTGCGCGCCGTTGTCCTCATTCTCGTCCTGGATCCTAAGGTCCCTATTATGATGGTAAAACGGCTGAGTAATTTCATGTGATATTATTAAAAAACTTTACTTTTAGAAAACGTTACGTGTGAATAACACATATTTGCACATAGAAGCGACTCGCTTAGTTCTGGATGCCGTGGAAAGATATGTAGATAGACTGCAACCATTTCATTGAACGAAATGAGAACAGTGAGCTACGCCACCATTCGCTGTTTCGTAATCTTCATGAGTATATGCTAAGCAGTAGATAGCGTTGAGGGCATGCTTTGACTGGCTACTCAAACTCAGAATAACCTTTGCTATACACCTCAGAGAAACTCGCGCGAGATTTGCGCCCGATAATATTGTAAATGTTCCGGGAAATAATGAGTAAAAGTCATCTTTTTGTGTTATATGATTTGACGGTATTAGTAGATACTAAAACAACTATTTACCTTAATGTCAGTGACTAGCGGTAGATATTGATTTACCTCGCCGCTTTAAGGCTTTGTAAACAACCATCACTAGCCACCTTCCCTTCAGTGAATTATGCATGGGAGTTTATTGGGCCAAAAACAGAAATATTCATCATGATTATTACCAGCTTCTAATGTTAAACATTTTTCCATGACTTCAACAGTAAACAGAAGGGGTAGAGGGATAAGTTTCTTATTCTTACAAACTACGGTGTGGCATTGTTGAGGAGAATTTAAAGGTGATTTGGTTTTATCAGCTGAGTTGATAATGTGAATTAGCCGCCGTCGAGAACTTCTGAAGCAAACATTCAAACGTTAGCACTTTGTCAGAACAAATCGCTTTGCTCCAACGTTGGGCTAACGCTCAAGACTTTAGCTTTAGAATCTGCGTACTGTGGTCAAATCCAGTTATCAACTGAATTTATAAAAACAGATTATCTATTATTCAAAATTCATTCAACTGTGAACTTTGACACGTATGAAGATTGATTTCAAACTATTCAAAAATATTTTTAAGATAATGCGATGTACAGTAATCAACGTTAATAATCTGTTAAATCAAAATTATCCTCGATTACGAAAGCTGGGCAATTGCAAGAACTTGAATCTCGTTTTGTAACCTCAGGTACGCACTTTGAGCGGCCAAAGATGAAAGGAACTTGACGACGGTCGTTAAACGTGTTCATCATGGCGTGTTCTTAAGATCTCATCATGGTTGCTACGGGTAGATTCATGAAAAAGTTTAGAGACTTCAAACCCGAGTTTGAGGGCGGGAATTGATTTTCCTTCGACGGTGCAATCGATGGTCCGGCTGTTATCTATGGCAAATTCATTGCCACTGGAGTATTTAAGCCCATCGGTTGACTTTTAAACCAAATTTTGTCATTCCGTTTCGGTTTGGTACAAAGAACCCGACCACTGCATCATAGTTGTCGTTGCTCGACAAATTAAACTGTTTGAAGAGGGCAACTGGAAACCTTTCTCCACCAATTGCAAATATCTGTGGTTGGAAATCTCTTCTTGCTGCGCAGAATTCCCACCCCCCACTGTTTTGTCTTTGTTGGACCTTCTGTATGTTGCACGAACTCCACGCCTTCGTCATCTTCAGTTTGCATAATTGAAAGTCTTCCACTTTCATTTCATGACGTTCTTGGCGGTCCTGAGGACCAAAGAACTGAGTTAAAAGCCACCATATAGAAGAAATTTGAGCGACTAGAGTTTTGAAACCAATTTTATTTTGCAATTTCTTCCCTGGAAAGAGGGATTAAGAATAACCGTGCTGTGTAGGTACATACGGGACGTGACTCCGGGCAGTTTGGCAGAAGGCGGAAACACTGCGAATTCCTCCAACACTCCGCAAGCGTCCTCAGCTGCTTGGAGAAAGTCAAAGGTGAGGATAATGTAGCTTAAACGTGACATCAAAACTAAATTTAAGTTGCAAGTTCATGATCAAGTATGTTTGCTTCGAATCCGTGCTTGCTGGTCTTCAAACCGCCATTTACAGCTATTTTAGACGCTTTCAACTCTGATTCAGGAATGATCACTTATTAATCGTAAGACTACTAAAAGAAAAGCTCTAAAATTCTCCTGATATTGTTGAAAAAGAAACCTGGTGGTAATAGAGCTTTTTAGCTTGTGAAAGATTTCTAGTTAACTACAGACTAATTCTGTTCTCCCGGTAATGTAACTTCATTTACATTTGCTTCCGTGCTCGCTGATCAACAATATCAACGTCGTGTTTGCTCTCTTCGTTTCAGCACCATTCAGGAGCAAGGGGAAGAAAAGAGATCTCCCGGCATCGCTGAAGCTAAAAATATTGCCTTGTCAATCACTGCGAAAAAACAAAAGGTTAAGCCATCGCGGATGAACACGAAAAATTCAAATAGCGCTTCAATACGCTCAACCTTCAGAAAGGACGAGGTGGTCGTGCAGCTTCAACATCGATCATGGATGACTTTCCAGAGAAAAAGGAACACCCCAAGGATAAGGTAACTCTAGTCAACGATTATGTTCAAGATGGTTCTAAAGGAGAGAAACCGGCTTCAAGAAAATGGACCATCTTGCGGACCACTGCTATCTTTGTAGTTGTCTCTCTGGTGGTTTGTGGAGCCATCCTGACAGCATTTTTGTTGACTCGGAAAAAGCACACTACTGAGCGCTTAGTGGAAGTCAATTTGGAGCCAGGTGAAACTTTATTGTATGAAGTCGAGCAAGCCCTTGAAGTACGGAGTGGAGAGCTTCAGAAAGGTATCTGATCTTGCTACTAATCTGATACTAATTAAACATTAGACGCTCTCTTGAGCTGCCCTTCATCACTAAGTGAAAGGTACGAATTTCTTATTTCAAGATTACCTTTTTGTTCGCACAGTCCACTTTTTTCAAAACACAATTTTATGTTTGAGGTGACTTGGGTAAGTACGCATTTTGTTAGATTTGTGACACATTCTGAAGTTTTCAAAATAAGATCAGTGAAAATGCATTCGTAAACCATAGTTCGCTCTATTAACCATGGTAGAACATTACCGCCAGGCAATTAATATGGAAAGCTGATCTTAAATGAAACAAACCGTGTCGGATATAAATCAAATCTCAGGTAAAGAGTCTGAATTCGCACAAAGATCAGTCGGGCCGTGCAAATATATAGAATACAGGTTTTAAATAGTCTTTCGATCACCCCACGTTATCAGTTTATGTCCCTTTTCCGTGCGTGGTTTACGTCATCCTCGAGGCGTTGAATTTTATTTTTAGCGGCTAATCACGTTTAATTGCCTTTTGAAATAGCATGATTTATTTGCAGATATTTGCATATACATGTTCGTTCAGTGCATTTTGTTAGAAATGTTTTTTGTTTGGAGTTTTGGTCTCAATAAATTGTTGTCATTCAATTAATTTTTAGAACGCTAAACCCATCCTATCTAGACAATCAGGCGAATTCTGAATTCACTTCGGCATTTTACTTGTCAATTTACTTTCCATTGTTGAGTTGACCTAATAGAGTTTTTTGCAGCTTTTTTGTATAGTAATCCAGTTTATCTGTGTGGTGAATATATTTTATGGTCGTACTTGGGTAAGTTTTGTTGGTACTGCCATAGAAACGGGTTACCTCAGTCAGAAATCTAATATGTTCAGCACCAGCACTTTCGTCATCAGTTGATCATTCGTGACGCTGCCAAGTTTAGCTTCAGAGTTTCTTGGAAATTACTCGTCTTTTTCTTTTTAATTGAGGTTTGGGAAGGTAAGTTTTCACTTTGTAGTTTTTGATGTGTCAGTTTGTCAGGCTTATGGATAACAGAAAGGTACTTAAATATCCATCAATAGCCACCTTCACTTCGGTTAGTCGGTTGATGCACAGTTTTAGTCTGATAACTACTTTTTAGTTCTGGTGGCGACATAAAGACGGTTGGTTATTCTTTAACTTAATAATGCGCATCTAATATTTCCATTTCATGCTAGTTCTTACAATAAATCGTTTTATCCTTGAGTTGCGTCTTAGATGTTGTTAAAGAAAGGTATCCATAGTTTACATTGAGTCTTGAAAGTTCACTTCTCGTCATCTGATATCTCGACGCGTTCTTTTAGAAGTGGGCTACAAATTTGGTATAGCCTTGTGGTGTCTTCTAAATCAAAATTCCTACCAAAAACAATAACGGCTCCAATATTTTACTTTGGAATCAAAGAAAAGTTTCTTAATTTTTCTAACTAGACAGATATTAAGGCTTTGTTAGAGGATGTGATAACAATCATTTTCAAGTAAAGTTTTGAAACATAGCACTTCTATTCATTTTATTCCCTCAACTATGACCGAAGCTACTGAGTAAAAAAGAAATCGTTACTTTGTCTTATGATTTTGGGGTAGGATTGAAGTAGTGACTAAAAGGTTAATTATCTGAGAAGTAGCTGAAAACTAAAGTAATGTAATTTTTCCAATAAGACTAAATCTACCCAATGAACCGTCTAAGTTACCAAACTGACAATCATACGGCGTTTGACTTTCAAAATGTCACCCGGATGTTTCCTATCTGCCTCTATTCTCGCAGTTTTTAGTAATGCAAGATTAGCATCTTTCGAAAAATTAACTTGTTGTTCAGATATTAAAGTTGTATGTTTGATGTCTTAATATGGCAGGCAGTGATATCATTGCCGAATTGATCTTCTTCAGTTAAATTGTTCTACTCTAAGTATGAAAACTAAATTTCAGTATTTTGTTCAGCACATTTAACTATTTTTCAGGAACCTTGAGTGCTATCGTTGCACTTCAAGTAAAAAACAAGACTTCAGAAGAGTATTGGTTCATTTTAAAGATCATCAGCATTACTGCTGAAGGAGAAAACTTGGAAAGAATTGCTAACATAAACCCAGGAAGACCGGTATATTTTCTGGTGAGGGTTGAGCGCACTTCAAGGTAAATAAGAAGGATATTCCTGAAAGTTTGACTCGCTTGAAGCTATCTACGACGTCTGGTAGTGTTTTTTTTTCTTTTCATAAATTGACCATCAGCTAAAAAGTGCTCAATGGGTTTACCAGAGCACTGAATAGATATGTAGACTTGAATTAGGTCAAGTCTACATATATATATATATATAGAGGGATTAAACTTGGTGTCCGTGAAACAGTGCTCGATACAAATAGTAGAGCGGGTATAATGTGTGGTAGTCGGAAAAAAACAACTACATTTAGAAGAAATAAAGTTGTTTCACTTATCCTTAAAGTGCTCGATGCAGAAATGTGCAGAGCAAAATACAAGTGTGAAAGAAGGAAATTATTACTAGTAATAATTTCCTTCTTTCACATTTGT